GAGTCTGGCATTGTTCACTGAGCGCCTGCTTGATCTGCTTGGCCTGTTGAAGATGAATCGTTCCAGCGCCGTTTCCATCGAGCTCCGAAGATGGAGTGTGGGCTCCATTGGTGGTCTGCCACACAATCAATCGCTAGTCTCCTCTACGCGCCTCGGCCGCGTCGACCGAGCCCCATGGGGCGGCGGACTGCCAAAAACTACTTGGAGCACCTCGGAGCACAGCCATGCGCTTGCCAAATACTGGACCAGTCAGGCTTACACCGGTAGCACCTGGAGGAATGAGTTGCCCAACCCGGCTGAGACAGGCACTATGAGTAGATGCTTCCCAGCAGCGCGCCAACGAACATCGCGCCGGCACCGGCCTCGCGGCAAAAGAGAGCACGGCCAGTCCACGTCTTGTCCGAGGCACGGACAGAGGACGGTCCAGACCAGACATCCGGAAAATCATTCGGTTGTACCATCTGGATAGACAACCTCTGTCATCCGCTCGTCGGTAAAATCATCTTCAGATGGGGTGCCGACGGAGTCGGTCAGATTGAAGAAGGCGTCGCGGGGTTCCTGATGCACTCGGACATGCGCCTTGCGAGCGTGGAAAACATCTCGCGCGCGCGAACCCATCGGGCGCCGCGCCCCCCCCACGACCGTCTCGAAGCCGCCCCCGTCCATGACGTTCTCGCGCAGCTCGCGCTCGGCCGCGCGCATGGCCAAGCGTCGGAGTTGTTGACGCGACGCTGGGTCGCCCGACTCGTGGGTCCTCGCGCGCCGCTTGCAGCGCTATAAATCCATCTCGTAGATCTCCGCGAAGGCGCGGCCCGCGAAACTCCCGAACGCCGCTCGTGCCACGTGGTCAGGGCCGCCCGTGATGATGGAGCCGTTGATAGGGGGTCTCGTTCAGCGCATCTGGCAGTCTTCGCACGTCCACCACAAGGTCTCGTTGTTGCTCCGATGGCGCATGGCCTTCTCGGAGCGCGCGCGCGCGCGGCCTGGCGTGTCTTCTCGATGCCCCGGCCGTCGGGTCCCGGGCTCCTGCCCACCGCGAGCCGCCCCCAGCTGCTGCTCTTCGCAACTCGGGGGAAAGGTCGCGGGTCGCGAGTCTGTTGCGCGGATGATGCCGCCTCCTGACCCAAGCCATTGGCGTCGCCGAGCAGGCTCTTGCGGGCGTTCGCACCGATGCGGGCCTCCGCGCGGCGCTTCGTGGCCACGCGGTCTAGAACGGAGAACAGCTTCAGACAGAATTGCTTCCATTTCCACGTCCGCTTCTCTGGAATCATCGCGGGGTGACTGGACCTGCCGCCGGTTAGAGGTTCCGGCCGCGGCTCTTTCTTGGCGAGGATGCGCCCCGCGCGGTTCAACGTCGCACGGGGCGTCGGGGGGCTAGGCAGGTGGCTGAGAAAGACAGATTTGAGCCAGGGGCGCCTGCGACACGTAGAATGCGGCATCCTCAGACTCGACGACTTGGTGGCATCCCTTAGTCCTGGGAGAGACTGCTATGATTTTCCCCCGTCTCTGCCAACCTCCCCTAAGGAAAATCATACATGTGGACCGCCCCTACCTCGCGCGGCCCTACCTCGCGCGCTCTCAACTGGCTGCCGTCGCCGCTGCAACTGGCGCGGTCCAGCTGGGGTGAAACTTGGTAGATCCTCCAACGCCCATTGCGTCCATTTCCAGAGTAGGTACCTGCGTGGGCTTCAGACCGTAAGTGCCTCCAAGATATCTCACAATTTTCTCGAACATGTCATTGCCACGCACTCCGCGCTGAGGTTCAGCGCCCACCAGACGGAAACCAATATGAGCTTGAAGTTCAATGAAAACCGGATTCCCAGCGTCGGCGATAGCAGAGGAAAACAAAAAGAACTGCCTCCTCCAGACTGGACCGCGGGTTCCTGTTGAGAAGCGTCGCGCAGAGCATCGTCTGCTTCGAAAGGAACTTCTTGGGGGCCGCCCAAGCCTGCTCGTCGCTTGCGCCCCGGCCTGGCTCGATCGCGCAGTTCCGAGCCCGGCGCCCCATCTTCCCGCGTCGTGCGCATCTCGAGCGACTCGTCAACTTGCTATGGGCTCACCGCCTCGGTCGGGCACGCCCGGCCCGCGCCCCTCGGCGCCCCCCCGTTCCGGGCGCCGCTGGACTTTCCATTTTTTGGGCGGGGGGGGGGCTGTTTGAAAGAAGCCTCGTCCAAACTTCCGTTCGCGCAAGTACTGTCGTGCCTGACAATAGTTGGCGCAGACGGCGAAGGCCTCGCCCTCTTGTAGAGCCGCGTCGTCGGGCAGGCCCCCAGCTGCGAGGAGTGCGTTTTCGTCGCCCATGCACTTGATGGCCTCAGCCAGGATCTCGTCTTCCTCATAGGACTCGGGCAAGGTCAACAAAGACTGTTCCACGATAACCCATGGAACGCCGCAGCGATCCGACTCTCGGTCCTCGCATCCGCCATCGTCTCCTTGATGCCCGACGCAGTCGAGGAAGGACTCATGCCGTGGATGCGATGGCTGGCCTTGCCAGGAAGTGGCGGTCGTTCAAACCTCCGAAGCTTCTCGTGCACCATATCAAAATCGTATGACCCCTGTCCAGAGCTCAACCGCGCCCCAAGCAGCGTCGTTGAACGTGGATACTCTAAGAAGCACGCACCCTTTCAAATCCACTTGCAGGGTCATGCGCTTCTCGAGTTCTCGGAAAAACACGAGCTTATGTGCGATGTAAGTGTCCCGGGATTTATCTCGCTTACGCTTGGTGCCGTCCGAGTAGAAAAGCTTCCCAAAAGCCTTCGGCATCCTGCGGTCTTGGCATTTGGCAAGAGCCTTCTTAATATGTTTAACCACAAACGGCCCACCGCCCTCTGAAGACAGCTGGTCCTCGGTAAGTTCGATAAAAATGAACTCGAGGTGGTCTTTGGCATAGCGATAGATGAGATATCCGCGTTGCCCTTTCGGAGTTCTGGCAATGGCGAGCCACATATGTAGCTCTTTCATATAAGGGTCTAGACGATTATCTAAATCTTTTCCATCCCAAGTGGGGGGTAGGTGGTTTGATTTCTTTGAAGCCTCCGATTGTTCAGTGGCATCTCCCCAACAGGTCGGAGCAAGAGGGGCAAAAAGGCACAGCCAGTCCTCGCAGAGGCGCGTTCTGCCAATCTGGTGCAGCCAGCGAACCACGTCCCCGCGCAATCCAACCTGATGAAGATAGTTGCGGATTGGGCGGTGCCCCCGTCCAGGGCTGCGAGGGCCAGTGGGCCCAGTCCTGGTGTGACCAGCCCACATTGTCATCACCTTCCCAAGGAACGTCTTCTCGTCCTCCAGCTCCTGCCCAAGGATCCTGGTCTGGCTATAACCAAGGGTCTGCTGGAAGTTCATCTTCTTGAAGCTGAGCGTCGTCTGGAGAATCCAAGGCGGCGCTCGGTGCAATAGGGTAGGCAGCGGGAAGAACGAGATAATCATGTCGCCCGAAAACCGAATGACAGGGGAGTAGTCCTGACTCCCCTCGTGGATCTCAACCACAGGCTCCGCTGCCATTGTGGACTGTACGGGGGCGGCTATATGGATACAGAGAGGCACGAGGTACAATTTGGGGACCCGTGCTAAAAGAGAGCACGCTCTCTTTCCCTTTACGGAGGCGTGGGCGCGTCCGTCACCGGCACGCCATGATAGCTCAAGGGCCTTTGTGAGCCGATATGGCGGCGCACAAGGGAGTACAGAGAGAGGAGCAGGAGGAGGAGAGGCTGAAGTAAGCCTGACAACCACAACCTCAGAGGTTCCAAACATCCCGTCAGTGTCGGCAAAACCTGGTCTACGAGCCACAAATTCACACGGCCAACCCATGTGACAAGCTCGTGGGTATGCGCCTCGCAAGCTTCTACTAACAGGAATATCTGCACAGGGGTGTTCCACAGGCCAGCTCCTTTTTTGGCCCAGCTATCTGCAGCAACGTTACCGAGCCTACGCCATCTGTCTGCGAACGAAGAATCCTCGCCGGCATTGGTGTGAGCTTTGAGTTTGCAGACTTTGGCCGAGCTGCCGCGCTTGGCCCAGAATTCAACCCGGAAGTGACGTTTGGGAGTGATGATGATGATGTTGATGAGGAGGAGGAGGAGGAGGAGGAGGAGGAGAAAGAGGAGAAGGTTGAGTGTGCCCAAGGGAGGAGGAGGAAGAGGAGGAAGAGGAGGCTCGATGCTCTCTTAAAAAAAAACGGCCGTCGGAGATCCCGAGTCGCCGATCGACAGCGGCCAACGCCCACGGCACCTGAGTGCGGCGGGCCTCAGCTGCGAGGCTGGTCGGCCAACGCAAATCGTCGATCGTGGCTCGTCGACGCCGGCGATGGCCGACGACGAGCGAGCCCTCGATGTGTCGCCGCGCCGTGTGTTCCTGACGCGCCCACATCGACGAAACCGACACCACGACAACCCCACGGCAAACCCACCGCAAGCCCCGCGCCCGAAGCGGCGTTTGCCCTGGTGGCCGAGGCACCTTCACCAAGACGGAAGGCCGCGCGTCGGAAACAAACCGCTCGGCGACATATCGTTGGCAACCACATGTGATCCCCACCCCTGCAAGTCTGATGTCTGAAAACCTGGCTGTGGTTCAGAAATTGAAGGATGTCTGCAGCCAAGTGAACCCCAACGGGGGTGTCCGCTTCCCCTGCGTCGACTGGACCCGTAGGGGTGGGGGTTGCAGAAAGTCACAGCTTAGCCGCCCAGGTACGCAACGCGCAAACCGTAGCGTGTTGACACAGAGTTCAGCACGCATATTGAAAACGCAGGTCTGCCACGACACGCTCTCCAAAATGTGAGCCAACACGTACCGAACCGCCATGCAGCATGTTAGCACGTACGGTTTGAACACAGCACGCGTTGCGTTTCACAACGAGCGTATCAGGGCAGCTAAAGGTCGCGGGTATCACCGATATCCGAGGAGCGAACCCTTGATCGCCGGTCGCCGACGACGGCGATCGACGACCAGAGCACGGCGCGATGACGATCGGCACCACCCAGCAGCGGACAGCGCGGGCGCCGGGC